CACCCTGTCCTCCTCCGGCCCCCCTGCCGCGCCTGCCTTCCTTCTGTGACTTCATTAAGACAGAAAATGAATTCGTACGTTATCAGGTGAAATAAGGAAATGAGAATCCTTTCTTTGGTTGTCTGGGCTGGGAAAAATATCTAATGGAGAAGCATAATACCAGGTATAGGCAAGAGACCGATTTTGCAGACTGAGAAAGGGCCTGGATTTCGTCTGCCAGGCTCAGGGACATCGACTTGCAGGAAGATTTCATTGTGTCTCAGTTTCCATTATTGCAATACTACCATATTGGACTGCGGTGTGAATGAATTCAGACACTGAATACATAACACCCCGTGACCGGATCAGAGCTCAGAAAGTAGGATTCTATACCTTAGTAGCCTCAGGTTTCTCTCTAGTAAATTTGGGATAATTATTCTTACCTTATGAAGTCCTGAGGTTTAAAGGGAGGTATGTGTGTCCAAAATCTATACTTAGCAAAAGTGTCTGTTCATAGCAGATCTCAGTACATTTTTTGTAAGAAATATCAGAATTTACATCTCCAGATAAGGTTTTCAATATCCCATTATATTTGAAAGGTACTGTCTTCTTATGTCTCAGACCCTGCTAAAGACTTTATGTGCCTCAGTTCATTGAATTATCAGAGATAGTTACTATTCATTGCCCCATTTTGCAGGGGTGAAAGCTGAGGCTGGGAGATGTTAATTACTTTAACAAGTCCTAATAGTTGAGAGAAGTTCATTGCTTTAACAAGGCCTAGTGGTTACAATGCGGCAGAGATGGAAGCCCAAGTCCTCCTCATATGAGAGTCAGCCTGTAATTCACGCTCCTGCGGAATCAATGCTGCCCTGTTCCATCCTCCAGAAGTTGCCTTGCTCAGAACAAACAGCCTTCTGAAAAGGAGGCTTTTCTATTATGGCCTCAACTCACGTCTGCTCTCAATTAGTGTTTATCCGTTTTCTCTAGAAATTGTTTATTCACTTCCCAAATCCTAAACCATTACTAATGGATCTGTCTCGCAAAGGATATTTACAAGAACATGTTGGATCTCAGAAGACGATTCCCTAATCAGAGATCCCAAACATTGGGAATCGCGGGGCTGCCTCCCCCTCGCTCGCCTCTTTCCTTCTCCAGGTGACTGATTTAGAGACAGATCTGCGTCCTGGAATGCAGAGAGATTCTTTAAAGTCAGACTTCACACAGTAAAAGAGCTCAAAGGAACTAACACTGGTTGATTGGTCACTAATCGTCAGCTGTTTCATGCACATCTCATTTTATTTCACGTAACAACCTGTAGCATGGTTTTATTATTACCCTCATTTTGCAGGTGAGGAACCTAATTAGTGACAGAGTAAAGATTCAAACCCAGGTCCTTGTAACACAAAGCATATTCTCTGCTGATACTACCCACTGCCCTGTCCCATGAAGGCATGGGGACCCTTTGATGACAGTGCTGTAATTCCATCCCATCAGATTGGGATGCTGGCGAGCGCTGTTGATCAGAACACCAATTCCTCTTGGTTTCTTGCAGCCGGAGAGCAACTCAAATGTCCCACCCCCACTCTCCACCCCTGGTACATTGTCAGTCTTCTTGCAAATGCACCCCCCTGGTTGTTTGGCAGGTGGCTGAGAGTGATGCCTGAAACTGGAACTATAACTTAGCCAATTTCTCTGATGACAGTGGTGTCAATAGTGCAACCGCTGTCCCTGAGAATAAGCCACCACTGCCTCTTTTCAAGGAGATGAAAAACATCCCACCAGGACCACTGTCTTACCCTCGTCAGCAATGCTTAGAGGAAGGAACTGGTATGATGAGTCCAAGGGGGCGAACAGTCTTTGATGGTGATTATGATGATGATGACAAGAAGATGATGCCCACTTTATATAAAGCAGGGCACAGACAAGTGCAAGTGTGTGTGTGCGTATGCCTGTGTTTCCTGGCTCTGGAAAGGATGTATATTTCTGAGCAGCATTTTAAGTTATGCCCACATCAGACTCTGTTCGCTTTTAGATATCCAGGAATGCTTTTCAAGGCACTTGAGAAAATGAGAGGTGCAGATGGTTTGCACTGGGGCATGTTTCAAATTTAAAGAGGATTATGGCCCATGAACCCCCGAAATGGTGTGAACCTTTGAAATTCTAATTACAGACCAGTCGGAGGAGGTATATCTTTACCAGGGCGGCGCAGTATCACATTGCTCACACGTTCCTTTCTTGGCCAGAGGAAAAGAGGAGGAGGAGCAGATGTATAACATAATCTTCAAATGAAAACGAAACACCAGTTGATGGCAGCAAGTTTGGGCTCTCTGGTAAATTCAGCAGAGAAGGAAATCCCTTGCTGGTTGCCATCTCAGTCAGCTTAGCTGGTTGTAATCATCTTTACTTCTCTCATCTGTAGGGCTGAGGGTGTGCACAGACTCAGCTCCAGCTGAAAGATAACTGTGCCCTCATTTTGACACATCCCCCCTTCATTTTACAAGTGATGGCACCAAGGCCCAAGGTGACAGCATCAGTTATCAGAAGAGAAAGCTCTGGAATCCAGGGCTCCTGGTATTGAGAGAGTTATTCACTGACTCTAGGCTTTTAATAACGGCTCATATTTATTGAGCCATAGTATGGCTTTTGCTATATGCTATACATATAGGATGGAAAGAGATACCAGCCCAGCAGAGGCCACAGGCTTTAGATGACAAATTGGAATAGAGGGAAGAATAGAATACATGCAAAATCAATTGATGTCCAGCCTAGAGGAAGGCCCTCTTGGAGTGGATGTGTTGGCTGTTATGTTCTCTACTGCTCCATGGTGTAGCATGGGGTTACCGAGGCTCTGAGGACTTAATGAGCCCAAGTTAGTAGGGGCCATATTTGCTCCAAGCCACAGAACCTTCAGATGCAGGATGACCTGGTTAGGCAAAACACCGCCAACTCTCATAATGGTGTTCCCGTGCACAAAACACTTTCTCACCCATTATCATTCAACAGCCTCTTGAGGTTGGCACCCCTATCTTCCCTCTCCATGTGAGGCAACTGAAGGCCAATCAGTTGGCCTTCCCATCCGGGTATCATTGGGACTCAGCCTATCATTCTTTTCTGCTCAAGATGTCACCTTGTCATAGAGGCTTTCTCTGAACATTCTGTACACCTCTTTCACTTTCTTCCTTTATGTGTAATCCACTTTATCTGACATTTTTGGCTGTCTGTTGTCCTACTAGAAAGTAAGCTCCCCAGAGCAGGGGCATTGTCCCTACAGAATCTCCAGGACCCTTAGGACATATTTGTTGACAGTAAAGGAGTTGATACCTAAATGAATTGACAACCACTTGGCTACTGGCCTGCCCCTGGCCCAATGCAAAAACAAGGTCCCTGCCTGGGGGTATTCCATTGTTGTTGGGGGTTAAAGACTGGAGGACACATTTAACCAATCAAGATAGGAACTCAATCCTGGGGGAGGCCACAGGGCCAGCCTTCTGCCATCAGAGGGAGTATCTGGGTGATGAGGGTTTGTTTGTTTGTTTTGTTTTTGAGAGACAGAAACCTCCATTGGCACTCCACCAATTTTTGCATTCATTGTGCCTCTTGTGTGTGCCCGGACTAGAGATCTAACTGAACCTTGGCTTTGAGGATGACTCTCCAACTACCTAGGCTCCAAATACAGGAGCCAATCCTGTGTTGCTTCCCAAATGACTAGTTGTTGTTTTTTTTCTTTTGAACCAATTTCATCGGCCATCAATGGCGAGAAATTAAATGGATTCATTGGACTACGTCGATTGAACTAGTGAGAAAAATGGCCATCTGCCGGGGCCGAGGAATGAGCAGTCTGTTGGTACTTTTTCCACAGAAATTCGGCATCTGCTTAGCGTTTTACACCACTTGCACCTCGGAAAATGCGTCTTACACCCCGTGACCCAGATTTTTCCTCCGGGTTAAAAAAAAAAAATCGGCAATGAAAAATTAGAAAACGGTAAAAAGTCAAAACCTTGTCATTTTGTTTTCAGTTAGCATGTGAGCGACTTGAGCCAGCCGCACAAACCAGGCTTCCAGTGGCGCCGAGCGCCCCGCAGAGGGAAGGAGGACGGGAGCCCGGGAGCCCGGGAGCCCGGCGAGCGGGCAGCTGCGAGCGGGCAGCTGCGAGCGGGCAACGGGCGGGCTCCCCGCTCCGGCCCGACGCCGCCCCGCGGCCCGCGCGGCAGGAGGCGACCTCCCCGCCCGCTTGCCGCACCCACGCGGGACTGAAGACGAACGCGGACAACTTTTCTCGGGCCCCCGGCTCCCCGAACGCTGGCGTCATGAGCTCGCTGAAGTCAGCGCTCCGGGGGCGGCCCCCGCCCGGCGCCCGCGTCGGAACGTGGCCCGGGAGGCGGTTCGCGGGCGGGGGCGGGGCCGCGGGCGGCGGGGGCGGGGCGGGGGCCGCGGCGGGGGGCGGCGGCGCGTGCGCAGAGCACTTCCTTGTTTGTCCCCGTGACTGTAGCGGGAGCGCCGCCGCCTGCAGCCCGCCGCCTGCCCGCGGGAGCGTGTGCTCAGTCAGTCGGTGCCCTCGCCGCCGACTGTCAGAGCGTCTGCGGAGGCAGCGCCCGCCGCCCCGAGTGCCCGGCCCGCTGCCCCGCGCCGCGCCCGTCCCCTCCCCCGCCGCCGAGGAGCCGCCGCCGGCATGAGCACAGGGAGGCGGGTCCCCCAGAGCCCCCTGCCTCGCGCGCCGCTCGGAGTTTGAAGGGCCCCGCGCCCAGCGCCGCCGCCGCCTGCTTCGCCCTCCGCCGCCGCCGGGGACCGGAGCCGCGCCAGGCCGGGCGGCGGGTGGCGGGCTGCGCGGGGCGTTCATGAGCCGCCGGGCGGCCCGCGGCCCCGGGAGCCTGCGCCGTGACTCACACCCCGCCTGTGTCTCGCCCCCCCGGCAGGATGCCGGACCAGATCTCCGTCTCCGACTTCATCGCCGAGACCACCGAGGACTACAATTCGCCCACCACGTCCAGCTTCACGACGCGGCTGCACAACTGCAGGAACACCGTCACGCTGCTGGAGGAGGTAGGTCGCGCCGGGGCCCCCGCGCGCCCCTCGGGGACCCTCTGGTTGCCTCCGCTCGCGGCCGCTGCCTGGCGGCCGGATGGTCTTCATTGCTGCGCCCGGGATGTTGCAGGCTGGGGAGCCACACCCCCTCCGGGACCCCCGCTCCCCGGTGAACGGGGGACCTCGGATGTGCAGCCCCCTGCTTCACTCGCCCAAGCGCGACCCCCGGAGACGAGGTGTGCAGGAAGAAGAGGGGAGTCTTCTCCCTGTCTTTCGCCCTTCCTGGGTGCCAGGCAGTCTGCTCGACTCTTTGCACATCATTGTGACTCTGCCATAACCCGAGAAGTAGGTGGTGTCAGGCCACCGAGGGCAGAGGGAGGGGAAACAACGTGGCCAGAGTCACCAGCAAGGGACAGGGAGATGGACACTGAATGCTGTTCTCCCCGGCTTGGCCAGGCAGGCTTAGCCGCATAGGCAAGGGCCCAGCAAAATCCTAAAGGAATGAGAGGGAGCTCAGGGCTGGGACTGCCCCCACCCCAGGATTCCTACCCTTTAGTTCCGGTGCCCAAAGCCCTGGATGCAAAGAGAGATCTATGCAGGCAGGTCCCCACCCGGCTCCCCTCATCTGAGGGTTGGGTTATGCTGGAGGTTGCTGCGCCAGCAGGACTTTCCGCAGGGCACTGCTAGATGTGAACAGAGACCTGAGGCCCTTGCTGCCTGGAAGCGCTGGCCAGATGGGGAGAAGGGAGGCCAGAGGCTGCAGGAAGACCAGCTCCTCCTATCTAGACCCTCCATAGAACCTTGTGGGTGTCTGGGGACATGGCCAACCCCAGAGCGATTTCCTTTCAAATTGTAAGTGAATTAGTGATAGGGTGAGGTGGGTAGGTAAGGAGGAACCCACAAGCCCCAAAGCTGTGGAAGCCTCTGAACCTCAATAAAAATAGGACATTTGCCCTGGAATTTGGCACCATCTGTAATGCCGTAAAGCACCACTCCCCTCCAAAAACAAGCCATACCTATTTCAGCTGAAAAAGACAGCACTGGGGGAATTTAGGAAAGCAGATGTTTTTTTCTGGGTGGATTCTCCTGGGTTGGTTTATTTGAGGTTTGAGGAGTTCTTTCTGATGTAAGCTCGTCATGATCAGCCCTCTTTAATATTGAGAAGCGTGGGCTTCTGTGATCAAACTGTTCTTGCTTGATACGGGGTTTTGATACTTGTTCTGCAGACCAGGTTGCATGTAGGTCTGGTCTTCTGAAACTTTTGAAGCACAGGGGTCCTAAATTTTAGGAGGGGAGAGGTTTTTGTTAGTACTGGGTCCGATCTTGCCAGCCAGGTGATGCAAATTAGTCTGAACATTTTCTGCCAGCTGAGGATGCTTTCTCGTTCTTTCTGAAGTTAATGTTGGGTATGGAACCAAATTTTGAAATTCAGTTGGAGAAATATCACCTAACTAGGTTTGTTTGAAAGTCAGAAGTAAATGGATCTTTTTTTTTTTTTTTGGATCTTTGTGAACTGTCAGTTTTGTGCTAACATGATGCTTAGTGTCCAGGATTAAATGGAGTTGCCAGGTAGTCCACCCCAAGATGGGTCTGTCCTTCACTTAAATGTGATAAGTTGGAACATGCTGATAGAGAGGCATTTTGCATCCTTTTTCTATACTAATTGTATATGCCTCTAGAGGATGTGACATTGATTAGACTGAGCGGTTCTTTCCTTCTCAATAACTTCTTCAGTGCCTGCTAATAGAGCTGTCAGTTATTTTAACTTTCCCTTTCTGCACATTCAGATAGTGTTGCTGCATTCTGTTTGGGTGAGGCGCGATAAGGGTAAGTAGTTGTTAATGCTATTGGTAGGGGTATGTGCCCATATTTTGCAGCAACAGCAGAGGATAGGGTAAATACTGAATTCTGTGCTGTTGCTCTTGCTCTTAATTTGAGATAACTAAATTTAAAAGCAAATGCAGGAGGGGTGGGTGAGAGAGAGAGGGAAGAAGGGATACTGTTTTTGCAAGGTTAGGTAGAAAAATAGATCCAATCATGATACAAATGTGGTCACCTATGAATTTGAGAAGGAATTGGAACCAGGCCAGAAGTTTAAGTGTCATGTTAGAGTATGTTGATAATACTAATGTTCTCAAAAATATAGCAGTCATTTTCACTCAGAATGGCACAGTAATTTTGTAATTCCTTTTCTGAACTTGAGTATAACACTGGTCAAGAAGTCATTGTCCCGAATCTGTATCTTTTAACTCTTGAGTCATATTCCATGAGGTTGAAATCATAATTGATTATCATTTGCATAAATGTAAAATATACCCTTCAGTTTCTTGATAGATAACCACCATGGTCGAATTTTTATTTTCTTCCTAAGCTTACATGTATGGCAGGGGTACAGTATTATATGTGTCTTAAGTGGATCAGAATTCAGCTCTTAAAATATATGGGGCTTAAGGTTATTACTCTCAAAATATAAGGAAATGTTTCGGGGCAAACCACAAAATCTTATTGGTCTGTGCTTCAGAAGTGAGGTACTTGGGACCTTTCAGAACACTGTTTGTGTTATCTCGTGGTTATTCTTAGGAACAGAACTTTTGGGTACTTTCTGGTGATGTGGAAACTCAGGAATAGGAATTCATTTGGGCAGCTTGGAATTATTATTATTTTTTTTAAAGTCTTTTCTAGTTCTAGTAATTCAACGTCTTCCTGTTCATTTACTAACTTTTTGCTCGTTGGGTTCTTAATTAACATGCATACGTCTCAACTAGAAAACTATTAGAGCTCCAAACTTGGAACCCGGGATTAACCCACTCGCTTCCTTTTGCGATGTTATTAGCAGAGAGTACTGTGCTTTGCAGATGTTGGTGCTTTTATTGAAACCGTTCTGTTATGAGAACTTTAGGAAATGGGTCAGAAATATGGTGAAAGAGGCAGAGTTTACTTCTGGGCTTCACCGTTGGGGACAAAGGGTCCCCCAGGACTCTGGGACTCATGATGTGGCTGGCACGCAATGAGTGGCTGCCTTTGGGAAGCAGGAGTGGATTGGCTGCCAAGGTTTCATCCTGGTGTGAGAGTGTTTTCCAAGCAAAAAGCCAGTGTTTTGCTTATTCAGCAACCGAAGCACACTGACGTGTGCTGTTTCACTCGTGACTATTTGGAAGTTATGAGTAAATGACTAGGAGGCCTGAAGACAGAGTTTTCCCAAGAAGGGAGTGAGCAGGCGTTTCCAGGACCACTGTCAGGGGAGACAGTAGGCGAGACCCTCTATTTAAAGGCTTGGATCAGTCAGTACTTAGTGCTTGGTGAAAGGGAGAATCCAATGAGGACTTGCTTGGTTATTTAATATTAGCACTTTATCCTTGGTGATGATGGAGGAGGCATGTTCTGCCCATTTATTGAGCAGCTGCTCTGTGCCAGGCTCCGTGTGGGCAGATGACATTCAGGTGCTCATTTAACCCTCCTCAGCTTTAGGAAGGAGGGACAGTTGTTATCTCCATTTTACAGAGAAGAAAACTGAAGCCTGGAGATGAAGTGATTTGTCTCCAGGGTCAACGGCTCTAGGTAAATGGAGTTAGGAAATCCGCAAGCAGTTAAGACAGAGCATGGACATTCTAATGTCTACAAAGACCTATTTCAGTGGCTTTGTAGAGGACGTAGGAGGCTTCACTTTCGTTGCACCTTCTAATTTGGGTCTCATGAAACCGAGTTGCCTAAGTTGCTAAGTGGCTTAGTTTTTCCTCATGTTCACATTCCATGGAGTTCCTAATTGCAATACTTAACTACACTATTTCCCCCCTGGTGCTTTCAGATATTTGGTTATGATTTTTCAGGTTCAGATGTGGGAACTTACTTGGGTGAAATCCAGGAACCGCATTCTCCCAACACACTTTGGGAGCACCTGCTATGTACAAGTCACTTTGCTAAGCCTCACAGAGGTATTGATTGGGGTTGCTGTCAGGATTGTGTTATGGAGAAGCGAATGGTCTTTGAGGAAGGGAGAAACAGGGCTTCCCAAGGGAGAAAGGGGCAGTCCATAGGGAAGGATATAGGACACTCACCCCAGCAATACGAGCTAAAGCATGCAAATGACATCCAGTCAGTATGCAAGCTGTCCAGTGCCTGTGATGTGCCCAGCAACGTGCTAGGCCCTGGGGACACCCAGATGAACGACCCTGCCCTCAAGAAGTGGTCTGCGTTTTCTTTAGGGGGCTGACAGTCAAGTGTGGGTGTTGTGTTAGAGCCTCGCTTGACTTAGGTGTGCAGGTGATGTGTTCACTCTTTCCCGAAGGCATAGAATGTTTGGCTGGGTGAAGAGTGAAGGTGTGGAATGTAGATTTATTATCAAGATTCATTCTGTCATCATAACAGTAGTTAGCATTCCTACTACGTGCAAGTCCTATTCATGTTATTGAATGCTTGCATTCACCCTGTTATCATTGAGCTCTCCTTACAGCAGTTAAGTCTTTGCCCAGGGTCACACCAACAATAATGAGTGGATTTGGGGATTCATCCCATCTCTATGGTGTCTTCATGTGGCGCAGTCAGACTTTGTGCTTTCTCTCTCTCCATGTAAGTATTGCTTGTGACCCATGTTCTTTTGGGCATCTTCCACGTGGCTGACTAGAGGTCATCAATCTTTAATACATGCTTTTAGGTCCTGCAGTGTTTTTCCGTGGAGTCGCACACACCGGCCCTCTGCGGCTGGGGCTGGAGCAGAGATCTCGGTCATCATCGCTTTGCTTCTCTGAAATGTTGTGAGCTGATCAACTCGATAGGAAGCGCTTATTTATATAGCAGCTGCTCCACTTGGTTGTAGTCTCTCTGAAAAACTAGTCTCAGAAGGGTTTACGTAAAATATAGTTTGGCCCTGTGCAGCTTAAGGTAAAAAACATGTCCTTTGTCCCTGATTTCTTGAAGGTAAAACAGCAAACGGTGAATAAGCTTGTCCCTGATACCACTGGCCCACTCGCAGTTCTGGGCTCTGTGGCCCAACACTTGACCCAGTCCAGAGAGCGCCAGCA